GAGTGGTGGTTACGTTCGATGATCAATAATTCAACTTGTAAGATGATTGGTATTGGTACAATTCGTATTAGGTGTCATGATTTGGTTGTAAGGACTTTGACGAAAGTGAGACATATACCAGATTTGAAGAAAAATCTAATTTCTTTAAGCAATCTAGATTCGAGAGGTTATAGCTACTTTGGTAAAAGTGAAATTCTTAAGGTTTTTAAGGGTTCCTTGGTTGTGATGAAAACAACTCAAATTAATCGTCTCTATGTGTTATAAGGTAGTATAGTAACGAGGCTACGGGGGTGATTACTTCTTACTTTAAAAAGGAAAGGACTCAATTGTGGCATATGCATCTAGCGCATATAAGTGAGGGAGGTACGACTACTACGAGTAAATGTGGTTTGATTTGTGGTGATAAAATAAAATCACTTGATTTATGTGAGCATTGTGTCTTAGAAAAGTAAACTAGAGTGTAGTTCTCCGTTGATAATCATTCTACAAAGGGCACACTTGATTATATTCATTCGGATTTATGAGGACCAGACTTAGGTTCCATCTAAAAGTGGTGTACTTTATTTTTTGACATTTATTAATGATTACTCCGAAAGGTTTAGGTCTATTTTCTCAAACATAAGAGTGATGTTTTTGAAACCTTCAAACAATGGAAAGTTCTAGTAGAGGATCAAATAGGAAAGAAGGTCGAGCGTCTTTGAACAAATAATGGCCCGGAATTCCGAGGTGGAAATTTTAATGAGTTTTGTACAAACCCTAGGATTGTCCGGCATCGCATAGTTAGACACACTCCTTAGCAAAATGGGATGGCATAGTGCATGAATAGGACTTTGATGGAGAAAGATAGATGTATGCTCTTTAATTCGGGTTTGGAGAAGGATTTACAGGTCGAAGTAGTTAACACGACTTATTATCTTGTCAATTGTTCTTCCTCTACTACCATTGATTGTAAAACTCCAAACGAGGTATGGTCGGGTAAACCTAGTGATTATTCAAATTTAAAAGCATTTGGATGCATTGTTTATTATCATTTTAAAGATGGTAAACTTGAACTTAGAATAAAGAAATACATATTTATTAGGCTATGCTTGATGGAGTGAAAGGTTATCGTCTATGGTGTCATAAACCCAATTCATCTAAATTCATTATTAATAGAGATGTTAATTTTAATGAGAAATATATGCTTGATCAAGGAAAGGTTGTTTGTGAGTCTACGGGAAAGAGTGAGAAAATCGTTGATAAAGGTGGAGCTTCGAGTGGAGTTTAAAAGAAAGAATCCTAAAAAATCATCCCCGAGATGTATTATCAACGATTGCAAATGTGCAACAAAATTCAGATATGAATGAAGATATCATAGAATCCAAACAATCTTACTTAATGGCTATTGGTCGAGAGAGAAGACGAGATAAGACCTCCATAGACATATGCTTATACCGATCTAGTAGCCTATGTCCTTATTGGAGCCGAGACAATGGGTATTCAAGAGCTTTTTACCTATAAAGAGGTAGTGATTTGAAAAGAGAAGCTCGATCCTGTGAAGGAGAAAGACACAATCATGTGAGTTTTCTTCTCTCTTTTGTACTTTATGCTTCTGCTAGTGTGAAACACTTGTCTTATGCCCATATGCCTTGAGCATTTGTACGTACATGTTGAGGTTTTATTGGAGAGAAGGAATTTGTTAGTTCCGATGTTGAAATCAATATTTTCTCTCTTCACATCTCCTGTTTCTTACATCGAGTTAGCTCACGTAAGCTTAGAGTGTGTTTTGAGGAATCATTTGACATTCTTGAAGGTTTATAGAATTCAAGCCAAGGTGGAGATTTATTGTGTGTGGCTTGAATTTTATAGGCCAATAATATATTTAGCCCATTAGGTTTTTTACTTTATAAGTATGAGATATTTAAACCTTTTTATGTCTTTGTTTAGGAAATAGAGTGAAAGACAAAGATTTTGTATTGAGCCTATAGGGTTTTGTATTCTTCTACTATCAAACTAATAAAACTTCTCTCTCGCTCGTGGAGTAGGCAATTTGTCGAACCGTGTAAATCCTGTGTGTTGATAATTTGTGTAGCTTTATCATTTTATTATTACTCGTCATTACTTGTCTTGCTTTTACTCGTTTATCATAACATTCTATTTAAGGTATTTATTTTCTTATCTTTAACGTTTGTCCTATTTAATATTTTTTTTCTAGTTAGAGACCGAATCTTGACTTGGTTGTTTTTCTTTATTTTTATTGTAAGTAAGTCTTAAGTCTTAGAATAGTATAAACATAGAAGCACTCTCATTGTATTTTCTCTTACTTCTTTCGATACAATAATTTCAATACAAACTTTTTCGAAATTTCATCAATTTAACTTTTTTTGTAATTTACTTTTTATAATTTTATTATTTACAATTATACTTTATCATTGTGCTTTTCTTACTCGCATAATTTACTTGCTTTATTTATCGCTTTTTTATTACTTTCCTTACATGTTTTTAGTCAATTTAATTGGTTTCTTAATTTCTCATGAAACTTAATGTTTTTTTTTCTTTTTTCAAGTTTTGTAATTTTCTCGCTTAATGTAAATTCTTGACAATTTGCTCGCATAAATTCCTATGATTTATCACTCAACACAAGCTTTACAGTTTGTTTAGTGTGAATCTCTAAATTTACATGTCGATTACTCAATATAGATTCACATGTTTTTTGTTCGATGTAAACTTAATTGTTTAAAACTAATCTAGACCCTTATGGCTTTTTACGAATGATATATGTGTTTAGATTGATATTATGATTTAGTTTTTATGACTAAATCTAATACTAATATATATGTTTTATTGAGACTTGTCTTTGTTTATCTAGAGTAACATCGGTATTACATCGAAATTTATTTCGAACTTGAACCCAATAAATTAGATACGAACTTAATGGGAAACCCATCAAGTTCTTGAAAAAGATTCAATGGTTAACCTCACGTAAGAGACCGTTGAGCTTGTTGTATTCAAAGAAAAAGACCATCCGTCAACCTATTAAGCTCAATGCATAAATTAAATCCAACATGCACATGAAAAGCCCAATCGGTTATCTCAAGTGAGAATACCGAAGTTTCCTACAAAACCAATGAAAGATGGACTCTAAAGTTGGATGAAATATGAAGGAAGTCTTATTTGAAAGAGGGTAGATGACCAACAATATATAGTGTATATGTTGTTAAAGAAATAAAATACTTTTAATAACAATAAAGCACAACCCATATAGTTAGGAGGATCGTGAACATAGGAATTATAGCATGAGAAAAACAAAGCAAGATATTATAGTGCAAGAAAACAAAAATAAATATGTACTATAGTCTAAGAAAAGAAGAACATAAAGCACTACATTTTGTATTGGAGAGAATGGTTCATTACTAGAGATTATAAAATAGTAGAGAATCTATAAATACCGATTGGAACTAAAGAGAACAACACAAAACAAGTACTAAATACAAGCAAACTCTTGCAAATGGCAAATAGTTCAAGTTATCACGAGTTCCATACTCGAAACTTATTATGCGATAGCTAGCGAGAGAATAATTTATAGACGATAACTTATGAAGGATAATCGGTAGGCATTAATCGGTAGAAGATAATTTTTAGGTCTGGTATTTGGTTTTTCATCCTCTCGTTCGTACTTGCAACCACCATTATTTATAGTTTCTTCACCAATTTTACTTATATTTGGAGTGTTCATGCGTGAATACTCACACTTTTTATTTACTATAAACTTATTCAATTCAACATTGTAAAGACTCGTAAAACTATTTATAAAGATTTTTAGTTCATTACTATCAAGTTTTCACTCATATCGTATGTGGTCTTTTGATCTTAGAGTTCAATTGATTAAATTCTTAATTTTGTGGTTTAATCTTATCATTTAGATTGCATACTAGCTTATGGAGTTTGACTTCTATCTTAATTTATCTTCTATCTCAAGTTCTTTGCTCTTCAATTCTACAACCCAACTAGTTTGAAAGCTAGCGGTTTCCTTCGAGGATTTTCAAACGTATTTAATTATTTTAGATTTAGTTTTTTTTTGTAACGTTAAATTTCAAAAACATCATAAGCAATAGTTGTAGTTTATATTTGCAAATTTATTTGGTTCATCTATTTATACAATTAAGAGATTGATTGTTCCGTAGAATGTGTTCCAATCATTTTTTTTTCAGTTATAAGGTTCTATTAGTTGAAGCTGGAATAAAAAACGGGCAACAATCACTAATCCTTACTTATGTAGATTTGTTGTCTCTAGATTTTAAGAAAATCTACAATTCATTTGATTTGAAGATAGTTGATGCCTAATTATGAATTGAATTTTAAATATTAAAATTTCTTCCAGCTCCAAAAGAAGGAAGATTTTTATACTGCGGGAGAAATCTATATTGCAGTCTTAATTTTCGCAAGTGGAACTCAGCAATGATTAACTTTTGCGTACGTGTACTTCACTGCTAAAAAGTACTATGGCCGGCCCAGTCAGCATTCCCGTAATTACACCAGTATAGTTCATGGTACTAGCAAATTCTCCAGTAGTATCATACGAAAACACAACTCTAAAACTAAAGGATAAGCTTATCTTGACAAACAGGAAAGCAGAAGCAAAGTTGGCCAAAACTTTTGCAATCAACAGAAAGTTTTCTTTTCTTTTCCCTGGAAGGCACAAACAGATCTTTTGCAACAATCTTCTTTTGTTGATATGACTTCACTGGTCCAACAAAGCGAATGAAAGAACTGTCGACCCCATAAGCGCAACCAATCAAAATGGTTGCCACTTGCGCAGATGGGGATGATATGAAGGTTTGCATTTGGATATGGTGGAACACATTCAAAGAAGAACAAAACAATGTACTATTAAATTATTGCCCGGCAAAACCTGAGCCGGTGAAGGCTAGCTTTTTTATATTATTTACCTATCCTTTCTGACATTATCTTCTTAATTAGTATTTAATGCCCTGGTCCTAATTGGATCCCAAAGTTGACTAATGGAAAAGCAGGTGGTAATCATCGGAGCAGGAGTAAGCGGCCTTCTTGCCTGTAAGTACGCTCTCAACATTGGACTCAATCCTATTGTGTTTGAAGCTGAAGAAAGGATTGGTGGTGTTTGGTCACATACTCTAGAGTCAACCAGACTCCAAAACACCAAAGAAATCTACTGCTTTTCTGATTTTCCATGGCCCTCCTCAATAAAAGATACGTATCCCACTCACAGTCAAGTGATGGAGTATCTTGAAGCTTATGGACAGCATTTCAACCTCTTTCCCTGCATCAAGTTCAATTCCAAGGTCATTGGTATAGACTATGTTGGAGAGTCTGATGAAGAGATGGAGTCATGGGGTCTCTGGGGTGGGACAGGCAAGCCCTTTGGCTCCAAAGGGAAATGGCATGTAAAAGTTCAAGACACAAAAAATTGCAGCATACAAGTATGTTTATATTTTGAAGAAGACAAGTATATATAGATCCATGTTGTTATAGACCATGGTGTGTAGTATTTTTTCATAAATAACGATGAATTATGTTGGTCAGGTGTATCATGCTGAATTTGTTGTTCTTTGCATCGGACAATTCAGTGGCCTTGCAAATATTCCAGCCTTCCTTCCAAATCAAGGGCCTGAAGTGTTCAAGGGCAAGGCGATGCATTCAGAGTCCTTCTCAGCTTTGGATAATTTGACTGCTGCAGAATTGATCAAAACGAAGAGAGTTGCAATAATTGGTTCTCATAAAACTGCAGCTGACATAGCAGCAGAATGTGCCAAAGCAAATGGTAAGAAAACATTTTGTTAAGGCAAGCAAATATTCCTACTTCAACTCTTTTATCGAATTATCAAAAAGACTCAAGTGTCTAAGTCATTCCTTTAACAAGCAAAATGGTCTATGCTGTGTTAAAAAAAAAAAAAAAAAAAAAAAACCACTGTAATTTAGTTAAATCTGTGGATGGAATGGTTAATTAAAATTCTGCTTAGTTGTCATTTGAAGTTTAAACTGCCTTATTATAACCACCGATCATTCAGGAGTCAAGTACCCTTGCACAATGATTCAAAGGAACGCTCGCTGGTTTTTGCCTGGTGACAATTTGAGTGGACTTCTGCTAGGTTTCTTGTACTTCAATCGATTCGCCGAAATGTCGGTCCATAAGCCTGGTGAAACATTTCTATTAAGTTTTATAGCCTTCCTGCTTTCACCCTTGGTAACTTCTATTCATTCTTCCAATTTGCTTTTGTTCATGAATGTTATATGTGAATTGCTCTTAAGTTGATGCCAATGTCTGGCTATTCAGAGATGGGGAATTTCGAAGTTCATTGAGACCTACCTTAAATGGAATCTTCCACTGAAGAAGTATGGAATGTTACCGAAATTCAGCTTTTTTCAAGGCATGTCTTCCTGTCAGATTGCAATGCTGCCTGACAAATTCTATGACAGAGTTGAAGAAGGAAGCATCATTATCAAGAATTCCCGAAGCTTTAGCTTCTGCCAAGAAGGTCTGATCATAGATGGAGAAACTCGACCATTAGAAACAGATGTTGTGATTTTTGCTACAGGATTCAAGGGTGATGAAAAACTGAGAAACATTTTTGAGTCTCCAGTTTTCCAAAACTACATAATGGGGTCGCCAACAGCACCAGTTTCCCTCTATAGGTCTTTCATCAACTTCTTATTCCTTGCCATCTTTCTTACTGTATTTTCTTTGAATTTCTCTATGAATACATCCAGCTTGATATTGCATCCTTGGTATTATAAAGACAAACTCTTTTGCATTTCTGCAGACAAATACTTCATCCTCGAATTCCTCGATTGGCTATAATAGGATACAATGAGAATTTCTCAAGTTTGGGTCACTCCGAAATCAAAATCGTATGGCTATCTCATTTCTTTGATGGCAACATTGAATTGCCAAGCATAAGGGACATGGAAAAGGAAGCAAACATGTGGGCAGATCACATTAAACAAGTTACAGGTCGCTACTATAGGAGAGCTTGTATTAGCAACTCTAACATATGGTACAATGACCAACTTTGCAAGGACATGGGATACAATCCCAGAAGAAAGAAAGGACTTTTAGCAGACTTATTTATACCATATGCACCAACAGATTATGCAGGTCTCGCTACTAAGTCAGGTTGATCAAATTTTTTAAAGCTCCATCTCAAGTTCAAACCATGTAGTTGTTTATGCTTGTTCCTGCAAGCCGCTCAAGGCAGAATAATTAATTCATGGCAATGACATGTATTGAATTGAATAACAGTGGCTTTATAATAAGAGTTTATAATCACTCTGCTGCTTAAATCTTTTATCATTAGTGGTGGAGATGACTGATATAATTGATATGTTTCCTAAGCCAAAGCAACCTTTTCTTCTAAATTCCATGACCTTTGTTTGTCAAGGCATATACCAGATGCAGATTTGTTTGTATCAGAACTGCTCCTCCACCGTTTAGTTTCTAGCTATTTCTCTCAAAAAAATAAACGTTAGTAATAGGAAAAAGTTTAGTTTCTGGCACCATGAATAGTCAACTTCAATGTTTCATTTGGTTTTTCTCTGAAACTTATCGGATTTGATCAAGTAGCAGTGGCAGGCTAGCAAATTTTGACATTTTAGTGTAAATCTGGATATTTCAATGTCATCAGGGTTCCCTTTTAGACCATGGTTTTGTCATACCAATGCAGCACCAGTTTCTCCAGTAAAAAATAAATGAGAGGACCACAATAACTGTTAGGTGATAGGAGGGAGCTGCATACAATAAAAATAAAAAAGGATATGAACTTGTTAAAGACAAGGCCACGAAGTACGATAGACAATCTGGAAAAACAGGATAAAACTGTATTAACTGCCTCATGCCACCTACTATTAGACTTCCTATATAGTATACCTTCCATGGCTACAATCATCAAAACTATATTTCTAAATTTTCCTTCACAAAAAGAGATTCTACCCTTCAACTATCCAAGGATTTCTTGCAAACCCATTTCAGATTCATTAGCTACTTTGCCGGATTCACACTTTACTAGACAACAAGGACAAGTTGCAGTCTATGTTGCTTTCAATCCATCTGGGAATTTCAACCTTCCTATATATGATGAAGAAGAGGGTAAAATATAATTATGCATTCTCAATCATGATATTGCTGCAGAATTGGTGTTCTTGTATTGTTAGCTGAATCTTTGGAAGTCTCATTTGAAGCTATTAGCTAGAAGAAGAGCGAAGCATGAGCAACTTCAATGAAGCAGGAGTGACACAAACAAAAACACCAGATTTTTTTTCCTTTTTTGTTCTAAATCAAGCTGTTTTTCTTGGGAAGTTTTTAGGGCATTTGGTAGTTTAGGCCATTTACCAGTCTAGACATTTTAATGTGAAGCAGATAAAACATGCATTCTTGGAGGTATTGTTTAAGATATCAACACCCAGAACCAAGCTTTTTATCTTTAAGCTAAACTTTATTAAGTTGCCAAAAGAGGCAGAATTCAGAAATACTCATGTTTGGTCATTAATGGAATAAATTCTTGATCTGAAGTGGGAAGCTTATGCTACATATATAGCTTAAATGATGGATGTATCGTTACTAAAGCAGTTTGTTTTATATTTTTTTCCCCATATTTTATGAGCATAAAACTAGAATTTGGAAGGAAATTTAAGATGGGTATGCCATGATTGTATAAAGATGCAAATTTGAATGCTACAGCAATGTTGTAAAGGGGCCAAAAGAGAGAGAGAGAGCACGTGGAAAGTAAATAATAATGCTCAAACAGTTACCACTGTACGTTCTTCGACGTAATTCAATTCAATCACTATCCAGTTGTTGGGTGCATTTAATATATGACTCTTGTGTATTTATTTCACCTGATCATCTCTTTCTCTCACTGACTACAGAGAGGAGAGGACTGTTGGGACTTGGGAGAGGTCTGAAAAGGGTACCTAGTAGATTTTTTTTCGAAATGGAACATTACAAGACGCAGTTGGTGGTGCCCTTGTGTGGCTTTTTCCCATGGCTGTTTGGTTTTGAGGTGATGCAGATTGCTGGCAGTCTTCTGGTCTGGTCTAGTCTAGTCTAGGATATAAAATTATGGAAGTAAATAGCAAGAAGCCAGGAAAGGAATCCAAAGCAAGCTTGAAGCATGGCAAACTATGATGCGTGTAAGGGTAAAAGACGTGAAAGAAGAAAAGAAAAGAAAAGAAAAAAATTAAACAGCGGCCTCCATTCGTTGTGGAGATATATCAATTTGACAGAATTGAAAAAAATTAGGCACTTTTCTTTCTCTTCTTCATCTTCATCTTATTCTTCTTATGCTCCTCCTCCTCCTCGCATTACGTTACGAGTTAGATAAAATATATAAAATTATTTAAAAAAATATATAAAATCTAAAATAAAAAAATTTATTTATAATTTTTAATAAAAAATTTTATATTTAATTATTTCTTATTTATGTTCTTCATAATTTTTCCTTTAGTAAAATAATTTATCCATGTTAATCTATGGGTTATTAACTAAAAAAAAGATAAATAATTTTTTTAAAAAGCGTTACTATTTCATAAGATTGTGTTAAAAAAACATAAATAATAACTATTAAAAGCTCACATAGAATTGAACAAATATTTTTTTTATTTAATGTTGATGAGAATATTGATTTTTGAAAAAAATTTGAATTTAATTTTTATATATTTATTTACAAAAAAGAATGAATAATATTAAAATAAAAAATTATACTAATTTGAATCATTTAGTGGTTAAGCTAAAATATTATTTTAATTATTTAATTCAAAAATAAATAAATAGTAAATGCTTAGTGTAGAAAAATATTATTATTATTATATGATCATAATATTAAAAAAATATTACTATATTAAAAAAAATAACAAATTAAAGAAGTAAATTTTAAATAATAAAAATAATTAAAAGAAAACACTAAAACAAAATGGGATCAAATCACAATACGATTAAAGTTTGAAATTTTAATAACAATTATTAAAAGCCTACATAGAATTGAACAAATAATTTTTTTATTTAATATTGATGAGAATATCGGTTTTTGAGAAAGTGTGAACTTAATTTTTATATATTTATTTACAAAAGAATGAATAATATTAAAATAAAAAACTATATTAATTTGAATAATTGAGTGTTAAGGCAAAATATTATTTTAATTATTTAATTTGAAAATAAATAAATGAATAGTAAATGCCCGTATTAGAAAAAAAATAAGTAGGCGAACGATGTGTCCCTTACAACGACAGACAATGCATCATTTAATTTCTCTTCTTCTCTAATTTTCGGTGATCAAAATCTAGAAATTGCTCGGTAGAATTGAGAAAGGGGCACTTAGCAACAAAAACTAAAAAAAAACTATTGACTTAATTTTGAGATTTTTTAGACTTAGTTTGATATCCCCACATCCTACTTCTACACTTTTTTTTAACCTAAAAATACCCTAAAACCATGTTAAAATCCATTTTGAACCTAAAAAACCTCCAATCCACCCTAGAAATCTAAAAAGCTGACCCTCCCTATCTCTCCTAGTGTCTCTCTACTTTTTGACATTCAAGGACCTAGACCTAATACTAATGAAGTTGTGGGACTATTTTGAACAAAACTAGAAAGTCAAGGATCTGAAATAAAATCATATCAATTAAAGTTCTTGTCAAAATAATCGTTTTATTATTTTTTTTTTGTCAAAACAATATTGTTTCAAGGTAAAAAGACTTAAAACGACCTTATTTTAAAGATATTGAAACGAGAGGCTTAGCTTGTTTTAGTTTCATTACTACTTTCATGTAGGGATGGCAATGGGACGGGGTGGGGCGGGGATCGCCATCCTCATCCCCGCCCCGCCCCCTTAAAACATTCCCCATCCCCGCCCCGTGCCCCGAACGAGGCGAATTTGCCATCCCATCCCCGCCCCAAATGGGGACGGGGATCCCCGAGGGCAAACGGGGCCTCGTTTTACTCGTTTGTGTCCGCCTGACCCGTCCCATTTTGTTCCGTTTTGACAGATTTTATAATGAGTACACACAATTTGCACAATTTTGTTTCCTAAACAAGAGATCAAATCACTGGAACTCAAAGAGAAACAATGAAAAACCATGTTCCAGACACATACTTAATTATCACAAATTACAATACAATTAATAATATATTAAATCATTTTCAACTCGAATAAATAACATACTTAATTAAATTGATAACATATCACAAACACAATTAAAGAAACAAATCTTTGCATGTTACTACTCAAAGATCATCAAGAATCACTCATTACATTGAAGTTCAACATAATCGTCGATTACTACGGATCCTACATTTATTAAAATTAAAAGTGAATTAGTCATTATAAAAATTTTTAATGTTGTCATTTAAACTTTGATATATTATTTTATACCTTCATCTTCTTCTAAATACTCCTCATACATAGTATAATAACCATCCGAAACAAATGAAGTTCCATCTAGAAATAAATATAATAAACATAAATAAGATATATAAAATTTTTAAGAAATTAATAAAAAAATCAAATTCATATGTAGATTTTTAGTGCATTACTTTTATTTTCAATTATTCATAACCAATTTTGAGCATACATTAATGCTTCCACTTGTCTTTGGATGAAGTCTACTTCAATGTGGACTTACTAGCTCGCCGCTAGCATTAAAAGTCGATTCTGAAGTAACGGTTGACACAGGGATTGCCAACACATCCTTAGCAATTGCCATCAAAGTAGGGTACTTCACTCCATTTACTTTCCACCATACTAGAATATCAAAATCTTTGGTTCTTAGAATAACACTCTCATCTAAGTCATAGTCTAGCTCTGTCTTGACAAAAGTAACCTTGGCCTTTTTTCTTGAAACATATAAGTCAAACTCGGATTCCATATCATCATAAACTCGTTGAAGAATTAGCCACAACAGAGCTACCACATCCTACATCCACATTCCTATTTTCTTGGTACTTAGCCAACAAACCATAACAAAGTTTCCTTATATTCTTAATCCGAACTATAGCCTCACTCCTATAAACTTTTTCAAAATAAAACTCCAATGAATCCATTTTGTACCTAGGATCTAAAATTGCAGCTTACTCCTATTATTTCATGAATCACACTCCAATACTTATTGAACTTGATTAACATACTTTCTGCCATTTCACTAACCATTTGATTTGGACAAGTGAGCCATTGAGTCAATGCAACCTTAATTTCATAAATTTTAGTGAAAAACATATTTGACTTAGGGTATCGAGTTCCCGAAAACAATTCAAGTAACACTATAAAAGATCTTTAATCTCCCACATATTTCCTTTGCAAATTCCCAATCACTATCAATAGGCACAACCTTATAATAAGGTTCGTGACGCTTCAACCTAGAGAAATAATCCTTATATAATAAAGCAATTTCAAGCATCAAATAAGTAGAATTTCATCTAGTTGGACAATCTAAAACCAATTTCTTCGTGATAGGAATGAGAAGAAAGTTAGTAACTTCCTTAAACTTTTCAACTCTTTTAGGATTTACTCGTCCAAAATGCTACACTATCTCTAATTCGTTCACCCTCATCCTTAATGACATTTAACCCATCTTTCACTATTAAGTTAATGATATGAGCACAATACCGCATATGCAATAAAGAACCAGAATTTAACAAATCTTTAGATTGTAATTTGTCCCTCACATACTCAACCATGGAATCATTAGTGGAATAATTATCTAATGTAATAGTGGATAATTTTTCTTCAACATTCCAATCCATCAAACAATCAACTAAAGTAGTTGTAAGGACAATGCTTGTATATGGATAAGGAACATACATAAACCTAAAGTAAGATATAAATTATTTATAAACTAGAAGCATTAAACTAAAACAATTAAACAAACATCATTAAGTTAAGAAGAAATGAAGAGTACCTCAATAAGCGACTTAGTAATGTCCAAGAACTATCAATGTAATGAGTCAGTAACGGCCATGAATCTTTTTTTTTTGGTTGCTCGTTGTCCACAAATCAATAGTGATGGCAACTCTACTTTTAAGTTTTTCGAAAAGTCTTTTCATTTTGGCTCTCTCATTGTCATATATCTTGAAGGCATCACTTTTCACTCGTATTTCTACTTGA